CATCCTCGCCCATCCTGAATGGCCAAGACCCATACCCTCATCGCTGGCTGGCTGACGGCTCCAATGGCCCGCCCATCCTGAATGGACCAGGACCCATACCCTCATCGCTGGCTGGCTGACGGCTCCATCCCCGCCCATCCTGAATGGCCAGGACCCATACCCTCATCGCTGGCTGGCTGACGGCTCCATCCCCGCCCATCCTGAATGGCCAGGACCCATACCCTCATCGCTGGCTGGCTGACGGCTCCATCCCCGCCCATCCTGAATGGCCAGGACCCATACCCTCATCGCTGGCTGGCGGCTCCATCCCCGCCCATCCTGAATGGCCAGGACCCATACCCTCATCGCTGGCTGGCTGACGGCTCACCAGAGGATTACTTTTAAATGCCTTTTTAACTCCTTACATTTGTGAGTAGTTTTCATACTTTATGCTACCAATAAATCATTAACCCTCTACACTTAGATTGGTGCCACCTTCTGTTCGGTTCCACCACTACCAACAACTACAGGAGGGGGCGGAGACCAGACCAGTCCCTCCGCACAAGCAGAGAGAGCAGAGCTGTGGGAGGGGTCCAGCAGGGTCCACTCACTACAGAAAACTACAGGAGGGGGCGGAGACCAGACCAGTCCACCTGCAGAAGGAGAGAAAGCAGAGATGTGGGAGGGGCCCAGAAGGCTCCACCACTACCAAAAACTACAGGAGGGGGGCGGAGACCAGACCAGTCCCCCCGCAGAAGGAGAGAGAGCAGAGCTGTGGAAGGGACCCAGCAGGCTCCACCCACTACAGAAACCTCCAGGAGGGGGTGGAAATCAGACCAGTCCCCCAGCACAAGGAGAGAGAGAGAGAGCAAAGCTGTAGGAGGGGCCCAGCAGGCTCCACCCACTACAGAAACCTCCAGGAGGGGGTGGAGACCAGACCAGACCCCCTGCAAAAGAACAGAGAGTAGAGATGTTGGAGGGGCCCAGCAGACTCCACTCACTACCAAAAATTACAGGAGGGGGCGGAGCCAAACTCGTTCCCCTGCAGAAGGAGAGAGAGAGCAGAGCTGTGGGAGGGGCCCGGAAGGCTCCACCACTACCAAAAACTACAGGAGGGGGCGGAGACCAGACCAGTCCCCCTGCACAAGGAGAGAGAGCAGAGATGTGGGAGGGGCCCAGAAGGCTCCACCACTACCAAAATCTACAGGAGGGGGCGGAGACGGAGACCAGACCAGTTCCCTTGCACAAGGAGAGATATAGAGAGCAGAGCTTTGGGAGGGTCCTAGCAGGCTCCACCCACTATAGGAAACTACAGGAGGGGGTGGAGACAAGACCAGTCCCCCCATCAGTCAGGAAGTCTCACACTGGATGACGGTGCAGATCCGGAATGAATACACAAAGCTCACCGGGATTCCAGAAGACGTCACATGACCAATGAATTTATTAATCCGGAGTTCAGCTTTAACCCTTTCCTAATCTGTCAAAAGTAAAAAAAATGGGGCTATACATGCACTCTTGGAATGACATGGCGACCAATCTACTAGTATTGTTTCGGGGTGTGGGGGTACACAAACATGGTGGACATACAGCCCCCCCCCCCCGCTGCTTGCACTGTGCTGTTCTACATCCTGCTCACACCTTGTCTGCCGCCATGCTACGAACCAACAAACGTTCAGCTCATAAAAGCCGTCTTCTAATCAGCTCCCCTCATTATCGGCCGGTGGGGCTCGCACTGATGATCACCAACAAGGTGCCAGCCCTCCTCCACATACATCACCAATATTGCCATCGATAGCTTAATAAAGGACGGTTTCTTTATAGGCGGCTGAAGAATGGCTTTTCCCGCAGAAATCAATGGGAGCCAATGATAGGTGAAAGTGCCCCGGCGCTTCCGCGACTGCGACTTCAGACCAAAAGCATCTCACAGGGCTCACGCAGCCTTTGCGGCCTTCCAATTAACGGCCACGGCGGCCCAGCCACATCAATTATTCTAATTCACTTCTAATAAATCATAGCTAATTGGAACCCCGATCTGGTCGTGTCTTAATGCATCATGAAAGCTCTGTGAGAAGAGGAACGCGGTGTACATCGCCATGGATGGGCGAGGAGTCCACCAGTCGCAGTATTGAGCTCCAGAACAGAGAAAATGAGCCGGTTACCGGATAATCTCCCTTCAGCTTTGTTTCCCATAATCCTATGAGCTTCCCTTCCGCAATACCTGACAACCAACCAATCGCTAGTCCTGAGATGAGCCGGGGGGGTGAAACATGGGATTCTGTAAATCTATACTCAGCGACCACTTTATTAGGTCCACCTGTTCGATTGTTTGGTAACACAAATTGCTAATCAGCCAATCACATGGCAGCAACTCAATGCATTTCGGCATCTAGTCGTGGTGAAGACGACTTGCTGAAGTTTAAACCGAGCATCAGAATGGGGAAGAAAGGGAATTTAAGTGACTTTGAATGTGGCATGGTTGGCTGGTCTGAGTGTTTCAAAAACTGCTGATCTACTGGGATTTTCACATGCAACCATCTCTAGGGAATGGTCCGAAAAAGTGAAAATATCCAGTGAGCGGCAATTGTGTGGAAGAAAATGCCTTGTTGAGGTCAGAGGTCAGAGGAGAATGGGCAGACTGGTTGGAGATGATAGAAAGGCAACAGTAATTCCAATAACCCCTCGTTACAACCAAGGTATGCAGAATACCATCTCTGAATGAACAACACGTCCAACCTTGAAGCAGATGGGCTACAGCAGCAGAAGACCACACCGGGTGCCACTCCTGTCAGCTAAGAACAGGAAACAGAGGCTACAATTTGCACAGGATCACCAAAATTGGACAGTAGAAGATTGAAAAACGTTGCCTGGTCTGAATCCATACTCATCAGACCAGGCAACGTTTTTCCAATCGTCTATTGAATGATTATTTTGGTTACTATTGCCTTTCTATCATCTGGAACCAGTCTGCCCATTCTCCTCTGACCCCAACAAGGTATTTTCCTCCACGTAACTGCCGCTCACTGGATAGTTCTCTTTTTCAGACCATTCTCTGTAAACCCTAGAGATGGTTGTGCGGGAAAATCCCAGGAGATCAGCAGTTTTTGAAATAGTCAGACTAGCTCGTCTGGCACCAACAACCATGTCACATTCAAAGTCACTTCAATCCCCTTTCTTCCCCATTCTGATGCTTGGTTTGAGCCAGGGGCGGACTGACACAACTCATGGGGCCCCCGGGCAATAGGGGATCATGGGGCCCCTGTGTCCTTGCCCAAACTCAAAAAAGCCTATGAAAAAGGTACCAGGGGCATCTCATGGGGCCCCCTACTGCCCGAGTTTCCAAATGGTCAGTCCGCCCCTGGTTTGAGCTTACATAGTTACATAGTTAGTCTGGCTGAAAAAAGACAGAAGTCCATCCAGTTCAACCATTAAAAAAAAAAAAAATTATAATCCTACAACCACAGTTGATCCAGAGGAAGGCAAAACCCAGCAAAGCACGATCCAATCTGCTCCTGCAGGGGAAAAATTCCTTCCTGACCCCCCGAGAGGCAATCGGATATTCCCTGGATCAACTTTCCCTATAAATGTTCTATCCAGTTATATTCTGTGTATCCAAGAAAGAATCCAGGACTTTCCTCCAGCAATCCACTGAGCTGGCCACAACCAACTCTGGGGGAGTCTATTCCACATTCTCACAGCTCTTACTGTGAAGAAACCTTTCCGCGTTTGGAAATTACATTTCACCACGTCTAGATGCCTAAATGCCGTGTGATTGGCTGATTAGCAGTTTGTGTTACCAAGCCGTTGAACAGGTGGGCCTAATAAAATGGCCGGTGAGTATATATAGCAATGGATTCTCTCTTCCATTACATATACAACCAAATGATCAGCAAGAATGAGCAAACCCAAGTCTTTTCTTATACTTTCCAGTTTACTTTTGGTTCTTTTTTTTTTCCAATAGATTTTTATTGAATATTGAAAGAGAATTATATAGACTGCTAATGGTGGAAACAAAAAGCTACAGAGATAAAAAGAAAAAGTCACCAAAAAGGTAGCAAAGGGTGAGGTTGAGAAGGTACTTATGAAGGAGAACATTGGAAGTATATTGACAATATTTCATTATTACGGCATTGAGAGACGAATGTCAGTACAACAAGGACTTGCAAAGGCACTGCCATCAGTTGTTACACCAAGTAGACCAAGGTTTCCATATTTTTTCAAAGGAAGCCGCAGAAAATGCAATCGTTCTTTCATAAGAGAAATGTTCGTTAACTGGAGTGAGAGCTTCAGATGGGTTGGAGGCCATTAGTTGTTTCCAATGTCTAGCAATCAGGAGTCTGGCAGCTTGGAGAATATGGGTAGCAATCGTGTGAAAAGGAGATGGCGCTTTTTCGATACCCAGACTCAGGATAGCTAGAGCAGGATTGGGAGACAGTAAAGTCCCTGTTATTGCAGATCGTACCTGAAATATTATTATTATTATTATACAGTATTTATAAAACACCAATAGTTCACTCAGCGCTGTACATTACAGAGGGGACAGAACATGTGACAGAACAATACCAATACAATGCAATACAATGCAAAACATGAGCGGATCGAGGGCCCTGCTCCTTGGAGCTTACAATCTAGGAGGGAGGGGATGGTGGTACAGGAGGAGATAGCTGTGGGGGATGGAGTGGTAGGAAGAGTGGAGGAGGTCGGCAAGTTAGCAGGGGGTGGGGTAGGCTTCCCTGAAGAGATGGGTTTTCAGGGTGCGCCTAAAGGAGAGGAGAGTAGGTGATAATCTGATGGGTTGGGGCAGGGAGTTCCAGAGGATGGGTGACACCCTGGAGAAGTCCTGGAGGCGGGCATGGGAGGAGGAGACCAGGGAACTAGAGAGAAGGAGGTCTTGTGAGGAGCGGAGTGTGCGTGTTGGGTGGTACTTGGATATTAGGTCAGTGATGTAGTTCGGGGCAGTATGGTGGACGACTTTGTATGTCAGTGTTAGGATTTTGAATTTGATCCGTTGCGCAATCGGAAGCCAGTGGAGGGATTGGCAGAGGGGGGTGGAGGACACTGAGTGGAGGCCAGTGGAGGGATTGGCAGAGAGGGGTGGAGGATACTGAGTGGAGGCCAGTGGAGGGATTGGCAGAGGGGGGTGGAGGACACTGAGCGGAAGCCAGTGGAGGGATTGGCAGAGCGGGGTGGAGGACACTGAGTGGAGGCCAGTGGAGGGATTGCAAGAGGGGGGTGGAGGATACTGAGTGGAGGCCAGTGGAGGGATTGGCAGAGAGGGGTGGAGGATACTGAGTGGACGCCAGTGGAGGGATTGGCAGAGGGGGGTGGAGGACACTGAGTGGAGGCCAGTGGAGGGATTGCAAGAGGGGGGTGGAGGACACTGATTGGAGGTCAGTGGAGGGATTGGCAGAGGGGGGTGGAGGAGACGGAGCGGTTGGAAAGGTGAATGAGTCTGGCAGCCGTATTCAGGATGGACTGAAGCGGGGATAGCCAGCGGCGAGGCAGGCCAGTGAGGAGGGAGTTGCAGTAGTCGAGTCGTGATATGATGAGGGAGTGAATGAGCTGTTTAGTGGTTTCTGGGGTTAGGAACGCGCATATTTTGGCGATGTTGCGGAGGTGGAGTCTGAATGTTGCGAGAGGTGGAGTCTGAATGTTGCGGAGGTGGAGTCTGCATGTTGCGGAGGTGGAGTCTGCACGAGTTTGTTAAAGATTGGACTTGGGGCTGGAAGGATAGGTTGGAGTCCTCCAGAAACTATCTACACTTTTACATGACCAGAGACTGTCCATTACATTTCCTGGCTGACAACATCCTCTTCAGCAAAGGGAGAATAAGCGGGAGGACGTTTGGGCTAATCGACATGGCGTGAGATACCAATGTAGTGAGATCTTTGTGCCAGTTCCCAATGTTGGGGACACCTATGTGTTTTTAATGACTAACTATATGTCAATAAAATTTGTGAAGTTAGCCCATTTGTCTTTCTAGCACCTCTAAAGCCTCTGGTGCCTCATGTCTCTACAATGCCCAGGAGAGTGATGTCACTGCTCCCCCGGGTGACCGCCTATTCCAATGATAGATGTTGAGGAGCACAGAGCTGAGAGGGAGCACAGGTAATAGGGTATATGGGGGTTCAGTGACAGTGTCTCTGCAGCAGATGTTCCCTGAGCCCCCCATTACTCTCTGTGCTCTCTCTCTGCTCCTTGCTAGTCAACTGCTGGCATTGGAATGGGCTTTGGTGATGACCCAAGAGAGCAGTTGCATCACTCCCCTGATCATCTCAGGACTAACAATTGGTTGTTGAAGGGGAGCAGCTCGAATGCTCCCCCATACCTGGAGGTGCCAGGTACTCTCACTGGGACAAGAGGAGGAAAGAGCGGTGATGGAAGCATGAGGGGGTCATCAGAGACGCCATCACTCTGCCCTGCATGGGTAAGGTGACAGCGTCTCGATAATTAACTAATCATTCATTATGGACATTTACAATTCCTTGCACCCACATGAACTAATGTGTGACCAGATTTTGGTGTGGCCATGGATGCCCCACTACAGCCAGAATTGTACCATGGATGTCCCAATACAACTAGGATTGTACCACGGGTGTCCAAATACAACTAGGATTGTACCACGGATGTCCCAATACAACTAGGATTGTACCACGGATGTCCCAATACAACTAGGATTGTACCACGGATGTCCCAATACAACTAGGATTGTACCACGGGTGTCCCAATACAACTAGGATTGTACCACGGATGTCCCAATACAACTAGGATTGTACCACGGATGTCCCAATACAACTAGGATTGTACCACGGATGTCCCAATACAACTAGGATTGTACCATGGATGTCCCATACAACTAGGATTGTACCACGGGTGTCCCAATACAACTAGGATTGTACCACGGATGTCCCATACAACTAGGATTGTACCACGGATGTCCCAATACAACTAGGATTGTACCACGGGTGTCCCAAGAAAACTAGGATTGTACCACGGGTGTCCCAATACAACTAGGATTGTACCACGGATGTCCCAATACAACCAGGATTGTACCACGGATGTCCCAATACAACTAGGATTGTACCACGGGTGTCCCAATACAACTAGGATTGTACCACGGGTGTTCCAATACAACTAGGATTGTACCACGGGTGTCCCAATACAACTAGGATTGTACCACGGGTGTCCCAATACAACTAGGATTGTACCACGGGTGTCCCAATACAACTAGGATTGTACCACGGGTGTCCCCCAATACAACTGGGATTGTACCACGGGTGTCCCAATACAACTAGGATTGTACCACGGATGTCCCAATACAACTAGGATTGTACCACGGATGTCCCAATGCAACCAGGATTGTACCACGGATGTCCCAATACAACCAGAATTGTACCATGGATTGTCCCAGTACAACTAGGATTGTACCACGGATGTCCCAATACCTCCAGGATTGTACCATGGATGTCCCAATACCTCCAGGATTGTACTGCACATATACAACTGAACATGGTGGAGGAGATTTCTGATATGTAGTCTTCTGTCATTACCAGCACATCTAAGCCATAGTTTGTAGTTGTTGAAGAACCAGGTGGGCCAGGCAGTCTTATGGCCACGCTGTAGCTCATCCCTGTGTTCCCCACCACTTGACTGGACAGTGAGGCTGGGAGAAGGAAGGAGAACTTTGATTGGACCCAGAACCAACATGGTGGGTGGCACCAGGTAGCGTTGAGGAACTCAGAAAAGTTACACCATAGTACTTAAAACTCCCCTAAAAAAAGTTTCACGCCTGTCCCCACATATACACACATAACCACAGACACCCTAGGGCAGTGATGGCGAACCTTTTTGAGCCCGAGTGCCCAAAACTGCAACACAAAACCAACTTTTTTATTTCAAAGTGCCAACACTGCAATTAACCACTTGCCTACCGGGCACTTCTACCCCCTTCCTGCCCAGACCAATTTTCAGCTTTCAGTGCTGTTGCACTTGACAATGACAATTGTGTGGTCATGCAACACTCATTTTTTTTCACACAAATAGAGCTTTTTTGGTGGTATTTAATCACCACTGGGTGTTTTATTTTTTGCACTATAAATGAAAAAAGAGCAAAAAATTAAAAACATAAAAGGTTTTCTTTTCTTCTATTGTAAAATTTAGCAAACAGGTAATAGTTCTTCTTTGATGTGCGTTGGTGAGGCTGCACTGATAGGCAGCACTGATGGGCATTGATGAGGCGGCACAGATAGGTAGCACTGATGAGGCGGCACTGGTGGGCATTGATGAGGAGGCACTGATGATGCACTGATATGCAGCAATGATGGGCACTGATAAGCGGCACTGACTGATAGCACCAACTGGAGGCACTGACAGACGGCACTTATCGGCGGCACTGCTGGGCATCATTGATGGGTGGCACTGATGGGCAGCACTGATGGGTGACACTGCTGGGCACTGACAGGTGGCACTGCTGGGCAGCACTGACAGGTGGCACTGCTGGGCAGCACTGACAGGCGACACTGCTGGGCACTGATGGGTGACACTTCTGGGCACTGCTGGGCGGCATTGCTGGGCACTGTTAATCTCACCTCTGGCAGTGTCAGTCTGGCTTCCAACCCAGCAGCTCATTCCCATCCACACTGAACACATCGCCCCTGGCCCCTGAGCAGTGTGGGAGCCTCTTCCTCTCTTCCATGCCCATCCCCGGCTACATCACCCCTGGTGCCAGATCCGCATAGGAGCCGTTTCCTCTCGTCCACACCCACCCTGGCCCCAGAGACATGTGGGAGATGTAGTTTGATGGGGGTCCAGTGTGGACGAGATCTGGATGGCTGGTCAGTGTGCGTGGTCCGTGTGTGCTCATCTTCCTCTTCTTCCTGGCGTGCCCACTGAGATGGCTCTGCGTGCCATAGGTTCGCCATCACTGCCCTAGAGAATAAAATAGCGGTAGTTCTAATTTTTTATGTCACGCGATATTACCGCAAAGGTCTAGGAAACACAAACTTTCAGTAAAAAACACACTAAAGTGAATTTTAGGGCAAACAAACGCAATCAATTACCCACATTTTTGGTAAAATATAAAAGACGAGGTTACACCGAGTAAATAGATACCCGACATGTCAAACTTAAATTTGTGTTCGCCTGTGAAATGGTGACAAACTTCAGTCCCCGATATTCTCTATAGGCGACACATAAAAAGCCCCCATAGGTAATGAGTTTAGCATTACAGAGGAGGTCTGGTGCTAGAATTATCGCTCTCACTCCAGCGTGCGCAGCGAATGTAACATGTGTATCGCAATTGACATTTTCACGTAGGTGCTCTGATGTGTGCGTTTACATTCGGGGGGTAGGGGGGCCTCAAAATCTTTTTGTCCAGGATGTTATGTGCTTGGGTGTAAATTAATTTTTTTGCAATTAAAAAAAAATTGTTTTTACTTAACTTTTTTTTCATCACCTAGGGAACACAAAGTCCCTTATGTGATGATTTTTAGGTGACAGGCATCTCATGGGGCCCCCTACTGACCTGGGCCCTCGGGCAGTGCCCGAGTTTCCAAATGGTCAGTCCGCCCCTGGCTCAGACACAGCAGCAGGAGTCATTGGCAGTTATTGAGGAGGGAGTGGGGGGGGGGGGGGATGAGCCATGCTCTGTCTATCTTATGGAACATACAGAGCACGGCTCGGGAGCGAGCACACGTGCATGCCCTCATAGCAAGCATTTGCACCACTTTTCTGGCGTTAAAGCCTCTTGTTACTGTATTGTACCAAATTTGCAACACTTTTGGTTCTGACCTCGACCAAATTCAAGTAGTTCTAAAAATCTCTTCCACTCATACTTTGTGTCACATTGAAAGTGAAAAGTGGAGCTAATCAAGAATGACTCTCTTTTGGTGTACAGAGAGAAGAACTGAAAGACCTTGTGATAGTGTCTCACCTCTTTTCCAAACATGGCATCGCATGAGATAAATTCAAGTACAAATTATAGACAGGGACATAAATTTATAATCTTGTAATAACTATTTATTTTTTTATACACTATATCGCCAAAGGTATTGGCCCCGCCCTCCCAATCATGTAATTCAGGTGTTCCAATCCCCTCCCAATCATTGGATTCAGGTGTTCCAATCCCCTCCCAATCATGTAATTCAGGTGTTCCAATCCCCTCCCAATCATGTAATTCAGGTGTTCCAATCCCCTCCCAATCATGTGATTTAGGCGTTCCAATCCCCTCCCAATCATGTGATTCAGGTGTTCCAATCTCCTCCCAATCATTAGATTCAGGTGTTCCAATCCCCTCCCAATCATGTGATTCAGGCGTTCCAATCCCCTCCCAATCATGTGATTCAGGCGTTCCAATTCCCTCCCAATCATGTGATTCAGGTGTTCCAATCCCCTCCCAATCATGTGATTCAGGTGTTCCAATCCCCTCCCAATCATGTGATTGGGGTGTTCCAATCCCCTCCATATCATGTGATTCAGGTGTTCCAGTCCCCTCCATATCATGTGATTCAGGTGTTCCAATCCCCTCCATGGACACAGGTGTATACAATCAAGCCCCTAGGCATGCCGACTGCTTCTACAAACATTGGTGAAAGAATGGGTCGCTCTCAGGAGCTCAGTGACTCCAAGCGTGGTCCCGTGATAGGTGGCCACCTGGGCAATAAGTCCATCCGTGACATTTCCTGGCTACTAAATATTCCACGCTCAACTGTTAGTGGGATTATAACAAAGTGGAAGCCACTGGGA